CATTCCTATAACTAGAATTAGCCACCGTGACGTTGGTTCAGTTTTTGATTGAGTTGGCAAACGGTGGCTCAGCAAATGTACCAAAAGGCTAGCTGGCCCTACAGTCTAAGCCCAACTCTCCCAACCCAGGGCCCCTTTATATGTGTTGGACTGGAACACCCATCATCCCCAACCACCGCGGTAGCCACAGGCAAGCAGGAATTGCATTAGCTTGCTACCTGCATAGAAGGAAGAAGTTCTTCGCAAGTTTGGGCAAAGTTTTCAGAACTATGAAACATTCTTAAGGGGGGAGAAGAAGTAAAAAATGGTGGTGGAAACTCCCAAATTGTGGAGGGAGGTTTATTTTAAGGGAGCCTCCATGTATTTTCATCATGATTAACCATAAGAACAACAACATGAGAAACTTACCTGTCTGCATACCCCCAGCCTCCGTCTTCAGCCGTCCTGGTGTTCTTCTTTGAAGAGGTCTGAGCTTATTTGCCTCCTTTTGACTTTCGGGGTGCTTCCTCTCCCCCCTCCCCGCTTGCTAGCCAAAAGGGCCTCCCACACGTTTTGCACAGGAAGCAGGGACGGAGGCTTTGCCGCTGAGGTTTGCAAAGCACAACCGAGGCAGCAAGAAACATGCAGATCAGCGTTGGTGGTGGCGCCTTCCCAATTCCACCGCATTTACCATACGATTTTAGAGCAGAAGAGCAAAACTGGTGGTTCGGAGTTGATAAGTTCTCTGTCCCGATTGGGCCTAACCCCCCTCAAATAAGGCAGTGGGGAGGGAACCTAAAAGGTGACCCTGAGTCCCAGGAGCCATGAAGAGGCAGCAAAATAATAATGGGACGCCTTTACTTCTGCAGGGCTGAAAAGATTCATTCTTTCACCCAGCCAAAATGGTCAAGACGTGTCTAATGTAAAAGCTTAAGTCTATAATACTCTGCTGAGACAGGCTGTTTTTAAAATCATTTTTAAAGTTCTTTGCACACTCACCCAATGCGGTTGTGGCACAGGTGAAAAGCTCACAAAGACTGATTTGTAGTTTGATGGGGGGGGGGCAACCAAGGTCTGTACCCAGCAGTAGTTTCTTAATTGATTGCTAGGGACTAGAAACTTAAATTCAATTCATCTTAAATTAAAGATGATGTTTTACATGGTGAACTGACTAGATGAATTACCAGCAGAATGCTTAAAAGATGATGCACTTAAAGTAGTAAGTGCAGTTTGCAAAGAAGTATGGAGAACACAGAAGTGGCCAAAGAACTGGAAGATCAAGTTACACTCCAGTCCTGTAGAAAAGTAGCACTAAAAAGTACTCACGCTGCTGACTTACGGAACAATTGCATTTATCTCACACGCTAGTAAGATAACACTCGAGAATCCGCAATCC